GAAAGATGAGGGGGGAGGGAAGGAGAATGAAACTGCAAGTGGGAGGAAAGAAAAATGAGAAAGAAAACCACAGTGATGAAGGAAAAGTGGAGCTATTTTGCAAGAAATGGAGGGGCAAGGAAGACTCAGATATACAATTACTATAGGACTGGAAATATTAAAATTCATATGTATTCTCTTTTTCATTTTCTTATATTCCCCTATGTATTTTTTTTTAAAAAAGAAACCGCTTAGTTCTCAGTAAGAACTCCATATCAGCGCCAAAGCTTAGTTTCCACTTCACAATTCTTCATACTGCACAAAACATCTCCAGCTGCACCCTGCAGGACACTATGGTTGTGCTAAAAATTAAGGCAAAGGAGTGCTTTGGAGAGGTGCAAAATGTCTCCCTAAGACAGGGACTGTTAACCTTTTTTTGGATAGAGGGTTGAATTCAGAACATCCTCCAGGTGCTAAAATGCCAGCAGTGGGTGTGGCCAAAAGTGGGTATGGAGGCATTTGCCTAAACATCATAGTGATGCTGGTGTAAGCAGTAATGGATAGGTCTTCAGGCTGGAGGTGCACTGGCTGTACCAGTGGAAAACCAGTGGGATTCTTCAATGTGCATTTGTGGCAAATTTCTGTTTTGTTTCAGCAAGACTCCTGCTTGACCTCTTTGAAGGAAGATCATGTGAGCATATGTTTTGTTCCTAGCTATTTTTAAGAGGCTGCTGATATTTAGAAGGCTGTAGGTTTTCCCACAGATGGAGGGCACAAGGAGAAGGGGACGACAGAGGACGAGATGGTTGGACAGTGTTCTCGAAGCTACAAACATGAGTCTGATCAAACTGCGGGAGGCAGGAGTGCCTGGCGTGCTCTGGTCCATGGGGTCACGAAAAGTCGGACATGACTAAATGACTAAACAACAACAACAAGTTTTTCCACACAAGAAAAAATTTGCTTTTTTAAATAAAAAAATAATTAGTCTATAGTATTCTTTACTACTATATGAATTGTAAAAACCCAGTAAGCACCCTGAAGTATAGCAGGCACCAACCTTAATTGCGTTTCAGTGTCTGATAAGGCTTAGGCTGCATGTAGTCTTTGCCATATCTGCTTGGCAGTAAGTCGTATTGAATTCAGTAGGGCTAGGGATGGGGTAGAAATTTAAAAGTGAACCTACCCAATTTCCATTTTCTAAACAGTACAAGAGCTGAAGCACTGCCCTCTTTCAAAAATTCATAGTTTTCTGAATTTTGCAATGCAGTTCTCCAGCCAAGTAATGTGTACAAACAGACATATACTAGGGTAAATGCATATATTAGTGAAAACAACTTACAAAAAAAACCTTTTACAAATATAAGGGAATATTGCTTTGCAAAAATGTGCATATTAAGCAAAATTGCATACAAATATATGTATATTAAGAGAAATTTACACTAAAATGCTGGTGAATTTTCACGAGGACTTCTTTTTAAATCACAAACCGATGTTGAAATGTGGAGAATCAAATTTAAAATGGGAAAAACAAGAAATTGAGAGAAGCTGATTTATCCATCCTTAAATAGGACTTACTTCCAGGTAAATGAAGTAACCTCATTTACCTGGGAGTAAGCCCCACATAATTCAGTAGAACTGGCTTCTGTTATAATTGCACTATTATTTAGCTAAGCATTGCTTAACTTAATACCTAGCTTTTACTGATAGGTTTTCTTCGTCATCCCCCCAATGTGGTATTTATGATTTTAACTTATTGCTTCTTATTATAGCCCTGAAATTTGATAATGAAGGGTGATGTATATAAATTTTGCAAACAAACGAACAAATGAACAAACAAACAAACAAACAAACAAACAGTGAGTCCTGTCTGTTTGGTATTATTTCTGTTTTATTTGGTGTTTTTTGCTTTTTTACTTACCGTAATCGTTTTAAGCTGTCTAGAAAACTTCATGCTATGTAGCGGCATCCACAAATAATGAAATACAGAAACGCCCCTCTCCTTGCACACACACTTCCTACATTTCTTTATTTCATTATTTGTGGATGAACTCCTTACAGAAACGCCCCTCTCCTTGCACACACACTTCCTACATTTCTTTAAGGACACTGCTTGGTGCCTTTTTGGCTCAGCCATTGGCTGGGATCCAAGGAATTGCAAACCAATCACATGCAGCTAACAGAGCTGGGGTCCCTCAGATAGCTGCCCTCCTCCATGCCCCAGAGCGAAGACCTTTTGAAATTGAGGAAACTTTCAAAATAAGTTTGTGATATTGTCGTGCCCTCCTCTACCTATGCCCACCTCTCAGGAGCAAGAGGGAACTTTATTTCTAATCACCAATCCCTTTTATCTGGTAAAGGATTTCTCAAGCCCTACTGGGTCCCTATATGTGCCTTATAGAGTTCCCAGCATTGGGGGTCCAATACCTTAAGCAATCTCCCGACAACTGGTATTCTGGTTCCACCATATAAACACTAGTATCACTGGCGTTCTCACAACCTCAGAGCTTAGTCAAACATGAGATGTGGTGTGAAGAAACAAAACTTTATTACTACAGTGAAAGCAGAATGTAGCAGGTACTTTAACAGTGCCTGGATACTTGGTATTTTATAACATGTGCTTATACTTCTATTCCGATCTCTCCTATCCTATCCTACTTCTCAGCTCCCACACCAACCACCCTTTCTTTCCCTCTCCAAAATCCCAACTGTCTTCAGCTGACACACAAGCACCCATATTTTATCACACCCCACCAATATAAGACAATGTTTCATCCAAATCTCCTGCTCTCCTTTGCACTCACCCTACTTTATATTATAAATATCCCCCCTACACAACATTCACCTTATATCACATAAAATACTAACCTGTACAATTCAGTTACAATGGCAACCACCACAGAGAGGACATGAGGGACTACAAAGGGGTGGGGCAGTAAAAAAATGCCACAGGACATACCCAAGTCTTTAGCCATGCTTCAAATAGCTCTTTGTATCGTAGTAATTTAAAATATTTTAGGGACGGCTTTCTTCCAAATGATGCTGCCCATCTAAAACTAAAAGTTTCTCCTTCTCTTGTGTCCGCCATCTTCAGAGTTTAGGCCAGTAAAGAGGAACCTGTGACCTTCCACATATTGTTGAACTCCAGCTCCCAGGAGGCCCAGTCGACATGGCCAAGGGTAAGGGATGATGGGAGCAGTAGTCCAGCAACATCTGGAGGGCTGCAGGTTCCCAATCCCTGTTACAAGCAGACAGGTATGTAGGAAAATACTTTTTTTTGGCCATTACAGCTGATCACCTGAACTCTTTCCTGCAGGATACATGTTCATTTTGTTCTCTCCTTTGCCTCTTGGAACTGTCTATATTTTTATTTAACAAAATTTATAGACCAAAAAAAAGAAGGAAAAAAGAAAGAAAAACTATTTTCAGGTTGCATAAACCTGTTTTTGTTTTGGAGAGCTATCGGGATGAGACAGAAGGGTTAGCTGGCACAGTGCTCCTCTTTGCTCTTCTGGTTTAATTCTTTTTATTCTCTGTTTTAGTTTTGTGAATTATTATTTTTATTGCATTTCATTGATTTTTAAGTGTATTTGATATTTGTTCTTGGTATCTGCCTTGGGTGTCCTTACAAACAAACAAACCCTGGAATATTAGGGCTGCAAACAGATATTTTACCTACGAATAAGTTGCATTAAACTCAATGGGAATTACTTTCGAGTAGACAGGAATAGAATTTTCCTATATGTTTAAAATGTAAAATAAAATATAAACGCAGTCTGATCTAAGGTAACAAAAGCACCACTGCCACACAAATAGATGGCAAAAAAGAAAGAAATGGATCCTCAAATGCATATTTAGGTTAAATGTGGGTCCCAGTTTTGAAATAGTTAATGACTATCTGGTCTACTATTATTTGGCAACCACAAATACAATGCTTGCATGTGAGTTAAAGGAACTGAATGGGAACAGAAAGTGAAACTGCTCGTTCTAATTTCTCAATCCTCTGAAAAGCAGAAGCACCGTGTTGTGCCTTCCTAATGGACTATTAGATCCTCGTTTGTCATTTCCTACAATAGACAGCCGTGTGAAAATAACTACGTGAAAGAAGCACATAAAACATGCAGCAGAAAGGAAGATATTCTAGCAGCACGTTTGTTTAACTACTTTTTTTGATCCTTACCACACAAAAAAACACCTTGACATGAAACCCTTCCGTCTTTCCACAAGGCTGTTGTATTCCTAAATGGGAAAGGCTGGCGGTGTGTGATCTATCAGTGGTGAACTTTAAGTGCCTGCCTAGTTCCCAGCATGAGTAAGCCACTCTTAATAGCTGGAGCGCCATTCTTCCCCCAGTTTTTCCTCCTCTGCAAAGACAAAATCCAGACAGTTGTGTTTGCATTTAAGTGAGTGTTGGGGGCCCAGTTACGGAGCAGCTTGCAGAACTGATAGATAGATGGATAGAATACACACACACAAACACACACACAAACATACAAACAAACAAACAAACAAACAAACAAACAAACACTAAACGTCTCTCTCTCTCTTTCTCTTTCTCTCTCTCTCTGTGTAAAAGAGCCTTGAGCCACATCAGTCAAAAGAACTGAGAGAATGCAACAAAACAAGGCAAACATTTTATTAAAATTCCTACAGGATATAGAAAGAGATGAAGGCGAAGGTATCTTTCCTTGCCTAACCCACCCTCCGGTGCTAGGAGAGCCTGTTCCCTCGCCTCCTGCTTAATTTCTGGAGAAGCCAATTGGCTTAACCCCCCCCCCGATTGACCGTAGCTTTTCCCCAGAGAAGGAGCCGCGCGCGTTATCTGCCTTCCCCAGTTGGAGTTTGCGGCGTGAGAAAGCGGGGCTGGCGAGCACCTGCCTCTTAGTCATCCCTGGGCTTGAGGATGTCCCCAGATTACATCTTCTCAGCTGTTTGCAAAACAGCGCTGGGAGGAGCGCGAGCCCCGAATTACACACAGCCGCGGCTGTCCCTTTAAATGCTGGGGTCTGCGCGCCGGAGAGGGGAGGGGCCGGCTCCGGAGTGCGTGAAATTCCTGGGCTCCTCCGACAGTCTCAGGCAGAGCGCTCCGCTCTACGCATCTCTCCTCGCACGCAACTCGCGGAGAGAGGGGCTGAGGCGCGCCAAAGCTTTCCCTCGCTCCTCGCTGCCTGCATCGCGCGTTCCCTCAGCCTGCTTCGCAGCCCGCGTTTTTGCGCCTCCGACAACGCCCTCCCGGTCCCGCCTCGCGCTTCCCCTCCCACCACACTCTCTTGCTGAGAGAGAGAGAGAGAGAGAGGCAAGAGACACCCCTGGATTTCTTAGCGGCCCCCCAAAGAAGGAAACAAACAAAGAGTTGGTTAAACAACCCCACTCGCTTCTCAACTACCAAGGTAAGACTTTTTTCGGTGGCGGCGGGCGGGAGAAAGAAGGAGATGGTTCCCTAGGATGGAATACAACGCCTCGCTCCCCACGACGGACGGAGAATTTCAGCGCGCCCACTCGAGAGATTCCCCCCGCTTCGGAAGGTGTTAGGTGCTCCAAGTTCTCACCAGAGAGAGCTGTGAAGAATAGAGTGGGTCTTCGAAAGAAAAGAAAATAAACCCCCCCCAAAGCCTGCCCAAAACGCCTACCCTCAGTATTATAGAGATTTATTATGGTGGACAGGATTTTGTAAAGTTATTTCTCCCCTCATACTGGATTTTCTCATCCCCAGAAAGTAATTTTTACGTGTGCCTGAGCGTGAGGAAAACTGCACATCATCTCCAAATACCTCCTCCTCCTCTTTTTTAAAGGTGACAAGCACAAACTCCAAACCTTGACCAGTACCTTTAACTCGATTCATTTCGATGATCAGTTGCACTGAGCACTGACTTTAAAATAAAATGGTTATTTTGAGGGAAAGAGGCAGTGCTGGGTTAAACTGTGGCAGGGATCTCTTTAAGAAGCCAATATATATTTTTTTGGTAAGAATATTAGATCTTCTTTAGGTTCTTTCCCCCCATCCCAACCCTGAATATTTTTTATCAGGGGGGTGGAATGAAAAGGGAGTAAGATGTGAAGGATCTCCCCCCCCAACTACTTTGGATCTATTACAAGAATCTTCCTTCCCCGCCTTCCATTTGTTTATATTAATGATTTAGTACTTGTCTTTGCCCGAAAACTTCCACTACGAGCAAGTGCCTGTGAGCTTCCAGGCAAGGAGTGACCTTAAAGGTTGGTTGGATGATTTCTTAATGCAAAATAAATAAATTAAAAATGTGTGCGAAATACCCAGGTTTTTTTAAATTAAAAAAATCACCCCCCCAACATCCAAACCTTCAGTTATTTTCCAATTTTAAACCATGAAGGACAGTGATGTAATTCCCTTTCCAATGGGTTCCAGCTCTAGTGCTGCGTGCAAGTGTCATGGTCTTTTGTTTACATTTACATTTTATTTTATTTTTATGATGAGGAAACAAAATCTCTGAAATTGTTTTGTTTCAACAACACCAAACCAAAGCACATTTTTCTTTCCTCCCACAAAAGTGAATTTTATTCGCTCTGTTGTTTTTTTGCAATTTTGGTTAAAATAAACTAAAGAATGCGTAGGTGATAAAAGACCTCAAAGGCAGAATAACCAAAAAATAAATAAATCCTGAAACCATTTTTGAAATGCCAGGGTCCCCCTCCTCACCTAACAACCTCTCATTCTTCATTTCTTCTTTGGCCTGAATATTCAAAATTTCGATGAAAATAGCTTCTCCCCCCCTTCCCCCAACCAATTCATTTTTATTCTTCTTCAATTGTAGCATGAGATTTTTTCCAGTGTCAAATGCTCAGATCTCTGAGAGATTTTTTCCTTCCCCCTATGACCGCTAACCAGTATTTGTGCCATGGTATATTTTGGGGACTGGATTTTGCGGGGGTGAACTCCTAACTAGTCTAGCGAAAAGTCAGAGAGAAGGATGTTATCTGGGTGGAGAAAAGAAGATGCCAAGGAGAGCTTGTCTGTTCACCGTGTAGAATCGGCCATTAAATATACCATGAGACGCCGGGGTGTTGTCGCTCTCATTTTAAGTTAAAATGGTCCACGGTACCCAGTTCTACAAGTTTATCTAAAGGCTGGTGAAAAGCCCCCCCCCTTTCCCCCCTCCGCGAGAGATGACGGTTACCATTTTAGTTTGCTGCCTTTCTGTATGTATGTGCTTTTGTGCCCCTTTATTATGGGCATCGATGGAATTATTTTCCATAGCTCTTTCCTCTCTATTGTGGGAAAGGGGAGACGTCTCGGGGTTTTACCTAAGAACACCAAAATATCGGTGATTTCTTAAAACAACTGGAGCTGTATTAAGTGATTCAATGAAATATAAACAAGAGTCTTGGCCAGTGAGGTTGCTCTTTCTGGAGCTTTCGGGGGATCTCTTGGTGGAGGAGTATGCTTTGGGAGCAAAATATGTGTATTCCTTATCATCCTTTATATGACAACAACGGGGGGTGGGGTGGGGTGGGGTGGGGGGAAATGGAGGGGAAAGGGATGTCTGTGGAACAATGTCACGTCAGTAAATAAATAAATTAAAATTTGAGGCCCCCACATTTGATTTCATCATGTTGGTGATGATGGCTCCTTGATGGAGCTGATATCCGATGATATCACCGTTCTCCATGGCTCTTCTACCCTGGCCTCATTTTACACTGCGTTTCCACTGAACATGTTGGCGTGCTGCTGCTTATATAAGGGCAAGAACGAATTCAAGCGGATTAGTGCTTGGGATTTTGAGATCGGCTATCCAGATTGAGTTGTGGATTTTTCGTTTCCCAATTTTTTTTTCATTGTTGTTGGTTTTTTCGGTAAATTTTTATTTATGATTGTCGTTCTTGATGGGTGGGGAAAAGGGTTGGGGGAGGAATGGGAGGGAATCAGAAAAAATCATGGTGCGTGCTGTGGGAGATTGAGGTGATGCGGGGGAGCTGCTTGAATAATGTCTGTGATGTGTCCTCTTCTATTTTTTTTTTTAATAGCCACCATTATCTCTAAAAACACATTATTCTTTAGGCCAGAGCTAAAAAAAAAAGAAAGAAAGAATGGGAGGGGATATCTTTAGTGAGGGGTTTTGATCAGCGAGTTATTAGACCCACTGCTGCAAAACCAAGATACAGAAATCTGTCTGTACTAATGCTGGTAGGGGAGACTGGAGAGCAAATAAGGTATATTAAGTGGGGATGGGGGGGGCGGACAATGGACTGTAATTTTTGGGATTAGACTCAGGGCTGTATGGTCTTCATAAGCCCCTTCCTCATTTTCTACCATTTCCTCCCCTGTTTTTCTATCCACACACCCTTTCTCCTTCTCTTGCCTCCCCCCACCCACCCCCCGTAGGCTTTTCGGCTCTTGACGAGAAAATTCTGTATTACCTCTTGATGGCTCTGCGGCTTTTTTTTTTTTTTGCTTTTTTTTTGGGTGTGTGCATGTGTATTACAACCGTAGCACAATGACCTTTGCTTTGTGCCCCACATATCTGGGCTCCCAATGCATGTGCGGATCACGGTTAATATCCGAGATCTGCACGATAGGCCGTGGTTTTAATTCTATAGCTTGCATTTTGAAATTATATCTACGTGTTGGGTTGGGGGAGAGCTGATAGGCGTTGTTCGGGAACTGGAAAATACAGCAAATGCCAAACGCACACCTATGCATTTTGCCGCCTGCTCCTTCTGCTCTGTCCCCCCCCCCCCCAGCCCGGGCATGTTGTCATACGATTCGCATGTTGAAAAGGAGGGTATGTAACGAAGGTAGAAGGGGGCTGGAGAAGAGAAGGCGGGTGGGTGTCTTTGTGTTGTGGCGGAATAGACTCGGCGATGGGTAATAACATTTTTTTGGTCAAGTAAATGCCTGGCGATAATGATTCGGTTTAACCACCCGTGAAATACATGCTTGCGACATATTGGAATAAAGGTTACTCCAGGCAGCTGTGGATGAGGAAAGCGTGCTCTGGGGAAGATGCAGCCTGCAAGACTGGAGAGTATATGGCATGCAGGCAGGCACCCAACGGCGCCCTCCCCTCACAAAGGCCAGATACGTGTGTGTCCAAGCTGGAGGGCATTGCAATACAAAGGGAGAGGGATGTGGGAGTCATGTCACATCCAGGACCAAGCTGCTGTCTCCAGGCCTGTCCTCGTTCGCTGTCCCTCCAGATACTTCCTCCCCAGCTTCTCCGTGCTTCTGATCAGACATAGCAGGGATGTAATTGATCCCGTGTACCTCTGTGCTGAAGGCTGCATACTCATATGAGACCGGAGGGCATCGAATCATGGGTGACATTTGTATGTGTGTTGCAGGAGGGTGCAGAAGAAACTTGCCTTTCACCATTAGAATGTGTGGTGGGGTGGGGGGAGAGAGAAAGAGGGAGAAATGGCTTTTTCTGGTCTCAAGAAAGCATTGCAACCTCCTTCCAGTTACGCCCTATCTTTTTCCTTTTTTCTTTTTTGTCAGCCGCTTTCTAGCCCTGCTGATGTTGCGTGGGTGAAATTTTGCTAGGCAGTGGGTGGAGAGCGTGCCTGGAAGTGTGGGGAAGGGCACAGCAGCGAAGGAAAGCTGGGCGCAAAGGGTTGACACGGTGCCTTGACCCTTTGAAATCCCTTTTCTCCCTTTTTAGAAAAGGCCTTCCTCCTTGAGGCAAACCTATTTTCTTACCATCATTAGATGGGTGTGTTGTAGTGCGGTTAGCAAATCTGGTAGAAAGGAATGATCTCTAATGGCTTCTGTCATCTCGGCAGACAGTTTCCTCTTTATTTCTGCATGTGGCTGAATTTGGCTGCAGTGTTCAAAGGTCTCCATATTTTCTGCTTTACTAGCTGGTAACAGAAAAGGGCTGAATAAGGTGCTCGTAGTGCAATGTCTTCATCTTCCATTTGCTTTTTCTCGCTCTCCTTTTCCTCGCTGACCTTGAGGAATTCTAGCAAATGAAAACCGCAGAAGCCGAGATGCAAGGCTTATGGGGCATCTGATTTGCACAATTTTCATAGGCAAATACTGGGAAATGACAAGGCTCCTTGGTTTTTGCTTCTCAGGTGTGCCCAGGTCCAACCTCTTAGAGCTGAGCTGAGAAAGTTTATTCTTTCGAGCCCATTTAGTAACTGGCAGGTTGTATTGCTGCTCTCACCAAGGCAGTATGTGATAGTGCAGTGACCAGCTAAGCAACAGGTAGGGGGTGCTACACTTGTTAAATTGAAACTCCCACCCTGAGAAAGTAATATCAGTCTCTTGAGTTTTTGGTTATTACTTTCCCATACCCGTGATGGTTATTTTGTACTTATCCATGGAGCAGAGATTGAACAGTAAGTTTTTTAAAATGAAGATGAAGGGAATGTCAAGTTACGCTGCAACTTTAAAAGTCTCTTTGAAGCCGACAAA